GTATTATACATGAGATCGTATTATACATGAGATCGTATTATACACAAATAAATACGGTAGTAATTTTACAAGTTGTCTAAAACCTTATTGTGTGATAGGGCCTTAAACACCTTGAAATTGGCTTCTTTCTCTTTAAGAACCTCTTACCATTTTTGACACTCCCACTTCAGCACTTCTTCACAACAGTTTCCTGTTGTTCACAATCTTTAGTAGAAGTGTTATATTTTGTTGTTAAAAAAAAGAAGAAGCAACAACCGATTTTGAAAACTGGCAGCTCAGGATACAGTTGAACCTAACTTGAATGAGTCCATGTTGGACATTGAAAGTAGATTTTCTGAAGGACCACAGTGAGAACAGAGGCTCTTAAAAGACATTTCAGCTTGGTAATATATCTCCAAGTCATCCTCTCATACTTGGCCTCAACAGAACTGTTGACTTCAGGATCCAGGCCACCCTGATGAACTGAACAGGTAATCCAGCTGTACAGTCATGAGGTACCCTGGGTGACTTCACCTCAGGTCTAATAAAACATTTGAAACTGATGTAGACTTCATCAAAACTCTTGCACCCGCAGTTAGAGAAACAACCTGGCCAAGTTAAATAACATTCTTTTTTCAGATTTTCAAAAGTCAATTATCTGTCTTAAATAGTTTATCTATTCTATAATTACGTTGATGACTGAAACGATGGACCTTTAAGGTTATGATACAGAATTCCTGTAATTACATGAATTTAACTTCACTGAGTTCTGATTATTACAGTGAGATTAAATAATCAACCCTTTACCTGGCACTCTAACTTTACATTAGCAAAAAAAAGTGACAGCTGAACCCAACAATACACAACCTGGACTTTTGTTTTGATTGTTCTATACAACAACTGGTTCTGTTTGGGTTTTTGTTTTACTACTAATTCATTGTTGAAGCCACAGACATTAAATCTACAAACAATTTTGAGGATTATTTATTTACAAATAGATGAAATAGGTGATGTTAGGACACTCCTTCATTCTGTAGTTTTCATCTGTTTGTCCAGAGGTTGTAAATCTCAGCAGACATCAAACAGACCCGCCTCTTTAATTAGCACTTTGAGATCTTTGGATCCAAGGTTCTGATCAGTCTTAACAAGCTTATGTTATCTAACAGTCGAGATATGATTCAAGAAAAAGAGCTTAAAATGGTTTGTGACATCACAGGAAATTGCATCACAGCAAAGACACTAAATATATTCACCATAAAACTTTAACACAAGCATAAAAACATAAAACTTTACTGTGAAAGTTACTTCCTGTCTGGAGTGATTACAGTTCTACACTCAGGATGAATTACAATCAGACTACCAAACTAATAAGTGTTCCAGACAGCCACAAAAATAAATAAATATATCCAAATTAAATATACAGTATTGAAAGTTTTCACACCTACTGTGAATTTATCATTGTCCAAATGGGATCATTGGGCCTCATGCAAGAACATGTTTGTATTCCTATCCTAAATCTCTCTTACTTTTGWTCGTATGAAGGGTTCGTACGAACATGTCACGTCAGATTCAACAAACTCTTCTATCTTCAGGAAAAGTGTGAAAATGAGCTGCGTAAACTGATGAATGTGTATCAGATGCTCGTGCACGAGGAGAGGAGATTTACATAATTACCACCCCAAAAACGCCATATAAGGCTACGTTTCCTGCCCCAAATACCAGGAAGTGTTCATTCATAAGTGACATCGCAAAGTAAAAAAGAAGAACTTCACGAGTTCCGAGATTGAAGTTCTGATCTCGGAGAGCCACAAAAAAAGTCATTTTTAGCAGCGTCAGCTGTGGAATTAAAGGATCTGCTTTAAAGCCGAGGAATGAAATGACGACTGCTGTTAATGTCGTGTTTTTAAATTGAAGGTGTTTGAGTGTGTGAGTTGTAGAATTATTGTTGAGAGGTGATAACCTCACAGTGTGTCCCGACTGTTTTCTGATTTGTTTTTCAGATCACAGGATTTTTGTTGTGAAACCTGCGACTGTTCCATGCGCTCGGCTCTCCTGCCTGTGACGCCCAATAGTGACCTCAGCGCTGAAGATCGCAAGGCTAAAGAACTAGCTCAGCAAATCAACTTCAAGGTAAATCACCAACAAGCAACACACTTGATTTGCAGGTAATTCACTTTACTTCAGTGTAGTTTATTTATGAAACACTAAATGGCAACACGTCATCTCAGAGCACTATACTAAAACTTAGCATGTTTCAATCTTAAATCCAATTATGGTATAATACATTCATAATCCGTATATAAAAGGACAATCAGTAAATAGTTATGAAAGTGTTGGGCTAAATCTAGGTTTGATGGAGATGTGAACAAAAAACACAAAGTTAATGTTTGCAATTAATATAATCATGGAGAGAAGGGAGAGTAAAGAAAGCAAAGTGGGGAAATGCGATCCAGTTTTCCAATCTGCTCATTTCAGTGTGGTCTTCATGTCTACGTCTACTTCGGTTCAATTCAATTCAGTTTATTTATATAGTGTCAAGTCACAACATACGTTGTCTCAGGGCACTGTACATAAAAAGAACAATGTAAAGAAGAAAGCAGCAGATTGTGTTGAATCACTTCATCACAGTCTCCCATCCTGAGCAAACGGTGGAGAGGAAAAACTCCCTGCTAATCAGGAAGAAACCTCCAGCAGAACCAGGCTCAGGACAGGWGACCATCTGCCTCGACCGGCTGGTTGAGGGACAGGAAAGAGACACAGACAAACACAAAACTGGTCCAGGTGTATTTTTCTCTGGAAGAGAGACGAAGAAAACACATATTATTGATAGAAATAATTATAACAAACATGTCGAGGAAAGTGACAGACAGAAGCAGAGTGAGGACATGTGGTCAGTTTGTCCTCCAGCAGTCTAAAGCTTAGGTTATAGTTGACGCAACGCACAGGGCGCGAGGGGATTTGCGTCAAAAGTTACACAATTGTGGCGTCCCCGCAATTGCGGGGACGCCACAATTGCGTAACTTTTGACACAATTGCGGCGTCTCCGCCTCTGCGCGTTGGCCCCGCATTGTGTCCTGGCGTGTGGTCGTGCACCTCCGAAATTTTGAAGGTCCGCAAAGGCTGCGCACCACTCGTCGCGAAGGTGCTCTCGCTGAACAGGTCCGAATGTACCGGCATCTGTATGATTCCTCCATGAGAGATCATAAAGTCAACCAGATGGCACAAAACTCATGGAAGGAAATAYCAACGGCTTTAAAGAAAGATGAGTTAATATGCCGGACGACATGGAAAAATATTTGCGACCGGTTTGTGATCCTGGAGGAAACAAACCAGTGTGGCTCTCTCAGTTCGTGAAGCACAGAGAAACAGATACTATGGAAAAAGAGGTAAATGTGTTTACTTTGTTATGTGTGACGTCAAGCGTTTCTTCTTCTACACTCTTTCCGACTACTTTTCCGCTGCTTTGGCACCGTACTGCCGTCTGTCGGTGATGGAAGGACAGCGATAACATGAACGTCAACTATGTTTTCACACAGCGCACGGCTCAGGAGTGCGCACACTCCGCGGAGGTTGCGCAACAACCGAAAGCGCGACTATAACCCAGCCTTAAGTCTATAGCAGCAGAACTAATTAACTATAATAACTAAGGAATAATTCAGGAAACCTAAGTCTAACTATAGGATTTATCAAAAAGGAAGGCCTTCAGTCTAATCTTAAAAGTAGACAGAGTGTCAGCCTCAGACAGAAACTGGAAGTTGGTTCCACAAGAGAGGAGCTTGATAACTGAAAGCTCTGCCTCCCATTCTACTTTTAGAAACTCCAGGAACCACAAGTAAACCTGCCGTCTGAGAGTGAAGTACATTGTTCTTCTGAGTATCATCAGCAGAACAATGAAAATGTGTCTTGTGATGTTTAATGAATTTACCTAATTTACCTAATGGAACCATATATAGAGTAAAGAGGATTGGTCCAAGCACTGAACCCTGAGGAACTCCATGACTAACTCTGGTGTAAGCAGAAGATTCATTATTAACATTAACAAACTGGAATCTATAAATAAATATGATTCAGACCATTTATAGACACAAGTCCACTATCTGAGGTCCTGAGAAAATCATTATTTTCACCAGAATTACCAAATAACTATTTGTGAAGGAAAAGGTAATCAGAACATTGTAACAAGTTAAAATAACACATTTACATGGATTAAATACAATTTGCAATCCCTGTAGCTGTGTTTTTCTACCCCCTGTTGTTAGCAGAACGGTTTCTTCAGGGTAAATGAAACCTTTGTAGCAATTGATTTATTTCTTACATTTCTCTCATCTGTAATTCTACCAGCAACATATTTAATTCTTCTGTATTTCAGACAGTTTGTGATTGTGATATGTTAAAGTGACTCTGGTGAGAATATTTGTTTCTTTTATAATGTTGGGAGTAACTTCAGACACACAGATGTCACAGAAAGAAACGTCTTTAAAATAAATCTTCTTCCATTTGTTTTGCTTGGTCTTAAGTTTGTCTTTATAAATGTTTTAAAAATGTAGGTGGGGTTTTATTGGGAGATAATTCTGAGTTCAAATGTGTGTGTGTGTGTGTGACCACGCAGGCAGAGTCCAGCTTATCCACACAGGTCACTACGAGTGGGGGTTCTTCATCGCTCACACAGGGAGACACCTCCACACCCACTGAGCAGGAGGCTGCTGAAAGACCCCAAACTGAACAGGTAGATGGGGTCATCCATGTATGTATTTAAAACAATACCTCACCACTGTTTTTTCCACGTGGGTGGTTCCACTTTACTTCAAGTTCAGGTCCTCTTAATGGTTCTGTTGTAACAGTAGCTGTGTTTCCATTACAAATGTGCGCAAAAATTCGTCGATATTCTGTTAATGTTGAAAAAACACAGTTTCACAACTGCAGTGTTTCCATTAAGTAAGAAATGTTATTAAAGTC